TCTCTCTCTCTCTCTCTCTCTCTCTCTCTCTCTCTCTCTCTCTCTCTCTCTCTCTCGCTCGCTCGCTCGCTCGCTCTTGCTCTCACACCCTAAACTCTCTCCCCGGTCCCATGTCACGGCAAGTTGTCGCCACCTAATTCGGCTGGCAGTGCCCCGCCACCACCCCGCCCCGCCACGCTCCGCCCCGCCACGCCACGCCGCGCAGCTGTCCGCATTCACAATACCCGCCGCACCGTGCGCGCTTCCACGGCTGGACCGCACACGGCTTCGCACCCGGAGCCGGCGTGCGGCGGGGCCCTAACCGCCCGGTTACTTCCGGTCCGGGTAGGAAGGAAATGGACTGCATCCGGTAGAACGCAAGGACGCGTGTGCTGATGCTGCGTCACGTCTCGTCACGCGTGACGTGCAAGATAGGAAAGGAAACGCAAGGAAAGATCTTCCAAACTAAAATGGCACATGTTTTTTATACCATATTACTCCTCAAAATGCAATCCTTAACTTTCACCGCTTGATTCAAGATTGGGGGTTACCGTTGTCTGCCGTTTAACAGAGTTCTCGAGGGTTTTCCCGAAAAAAATAAAAATATGTCAGCCCTTATGTCAGAACTTTATGCACGCTAACAAAACTAACAAACTAACCTGGTATGATGGTTGTCTTCGGCAATCCTTTCTTGGGAGTGTTGGCGACAGTGTTTGCCGCGTTCCACGCCAGCGAGCCGCGCACGGGTGAGACGACACGTCAGGGAGGGCGACCCAGTCGAGTGTGGCGGGGGCGGCGCAGCCCGGCGCGGGGCGGTACCTGTCGGAGATCAAACGGAATGAGACTCGAATAAGACTCGGGATGAAGGATGTCTGAACACAGGCGAGGCGGGAGAACAGAGAGGATCCAGAGCTTTGGGCGTTAGAGGGCGGGCGAGAGAGAGAGAGAGAGAGAGAGAGAGAGAGAGAGAGAGAGCACGAGGAGATTTGCGCTGAGTGGCCTTGCCACCTCGGGGCCACACGGAGTCAGAGGACTAATTCCTAAGCTGCACTACCCGCTTGCTTCTGGCGTCGTTCGTCTCCTGGCCCGTCTTGGCAGAAATAATTAAAGAGGGGCGAGCAAGGTGTGTCGCACGCCCTTAGTCCCGGAACGTGTGGAATGGCTCAAAGAATTGAACGCAAAAAAATGTATTATCAGCCGCAGAAAAAGAAATAGACGTGAGGAGAGGACAGAGCTCAGATTGAACCACCGATAGAAATCACGGGTTGGCGGCCCCCGTTCGGTTGGCGCTGGATGAAGTATAGCGAGGGCGTTGAAAATGTGATGAGGCTCGCGGGCGCGGCACGGCAGGGCGGAAGATTAGGATGGGATCGCACTCGAACTGGCTGCAGGTGGGGGGTGAGCCCCGCGGCCTCACAGCCCCCCGGAGAGGCATACGGCCGGCGCCATTTGTATCGGGCTGCAGGCCGGGCGGAACACCACGCGCCGCCACGCCCCGCCGCGCCTCGGCCCCGCTAGCACTCCCCGCCTCGCCACGCACGGCTCAACGCGCTCTCCTCTCCGGTCGCGGTTTCCTCCTCGCCAGAGCCGGCTTTTTCACTCTTTCTCTCTCTCTCTCTTACTCCCCACTCCCCTTCCCTCCCACTTGCTCTCTCTATCTCTATCGCTCTTTCTGCCTACCCTTCCTATATCTCCGCTGCGCTCCTCAACGTCGCATCACGTCATGACAGTCGACAGGGGCCTGGATGATCCCCAGCAGCCTGCACTCCCCCCACATCAGCCCCAGACCTCCTGTCGCTTTCTCATCCCCCCCCCCTCTCTCTCTCTCTCTCGCTCTCCTTCTCTTTCTCTCTCTGGCATTAAGTGTCCGGTACCCACATTCCACATTATAGAACAAACTCCAGCTTAGTTTCATCGCACAACTGTCCGTCGTGACGGCCAACTTTCTGACTATGTGCATCGGATTCACGATTTCGCAGCCAACATCAAATTTTGACTGTCGAACAGGAGTTGATGGTTGATCACAACAATAAAGTCTGTATTTTTCTGTGAATGCTACATGTGACTGCAATGTTTTAATTTTTACACCGACCCTGCCCTGTGCCCTGACAGCATCCTTTGGGAAGCAGAGTTTTCAAGCCCAACACCGAACGCTCGACGGATTTCTCCCTTTCTATCTTCGAGGCGGTTGACGTACGCTCGTTCGTTACTCCTTGCGTCACTTGCGTCTCCACTGCCACCCGGACCTAGGTCCTCTAGGACCCCGTGCCAGTCCCACCAGCTTTCATTTCAGTTCTGAGGTTTACTTCCCTCCCACAAAGTCAGCAGCTTATCCCCTCGCCTGCCCCTTCTCTTTCTCGCTCCCTCTTTCTTGCTCTCTTTTTATCCCCTTTCTCCCTCTCTCCCCTGTCTGCCCTCTCTCCTCTCTCTCCTCTCGTCACGCCTCTCGCCTCTCTAGCAACCGGCCTTCACGGCTACGGGCATCCACCATAACTACTGTAACCTCCGCTCTTCCCCAAGGCCTCGGTTCTGTTAAGAAGTGATGTCAGATAGTCAGAGCCACACTTTGTTCCGTGTGTGCATTTGGAGTTACGATTTTACATTTTTAGGGCCAGCGTGAGGAGATTCTTGAATTCCATCTGCAAATTTTGACATGGTAAAAATCTGCCGGGAACATTTTTTATAGCCGCCAAGAAGGTTTCGTTTGTTTGTGATCCGAAGAAATTTTTTAAAAATACAAACAGATATCTCCCTAGAACACGGAAAAAGTGCATCGTTGTATACAAAGCAGCAATTTCCTTCGTCGTGCTGCTAACAAACAAATTTGTTCATGATATGCAACCATTTGTCTGCTAAGATTACACATGTACCAATTAGGAGGCAAGAGGCGAAGAGTGGGGCGATGCAGTTTGCCTTCCACCGTTTTTTATTCTTGTCATCTTTTACTACTAGGTGCTCTCTCTCTCCTTAACCTTCCCGCCAGCCACACTCATGCACCCCCACCCTTTTCCCACAGACACGCGCACGCACACCTTGTTGGTCGCGTTTCCGAGGGTAAACACAACGAGTGATTCGTTTGTGATTCTCAAACGACCCGCCCGCCGCGCGGAGGCTGGTATCGCGGGAGCCCCCTTCCTCGCAGCTGCTCGCAGCTCACACACGGACGAGCTCTGAGAATTGCCGAATTGCCGCTTCCGCGCGCCGAGCGTGGCGAGCCCCCACGAGACCTGTATAAAGGTATAAAATGCCAGGGAGGAGGGTTTTTCTATCACAGTGATGGGGTACCACATTTTGTACGCAATAAGTGCGCATTTGATATTAATTGCATGCTGTTATTTTTGCGACATTTCAGTGTCATGTATTGTAATGGCTTTCTTTTGTACGTTGGCATCACTGTTCACTTCCATTTGTCGTCTTTATAAACAAAACCAAGACTGCAAATAAACCATTCTGCCAGCCCACCTGATACCTGTCGTACTTGTCAGTCGCTTGCACTCTCATCTGAGCCCTTTGCTCCCGCCAGACTCAACAGTAGTCTGTCAGCACGAAATATTGGAAATGGCAGTAATAAACAAAAGCAAACCAAACCACTGTTTGGCAAAAATACCTCAAATACATAACAAAAACGAGCTGAAGTGATTTTTATGTTATGCTTTATTAAGGTTTAAAATACAATTTATTTTTTTTAAATTGTGCTGTATGATACATTGGCTTCACACACATCACATTTTCATTCACGAAAACAACGAGATGGACTTATAGGTGGATGTATAGATGAAGGGAAGGGATAGATGTATTGGTGGCTCCGGGAGCAGGAGGTAGCGGCGAGGAGGGACACTTCCAGGAGACCGGTCGGCCGCTCGGCGCCCAGCTGGCCGCCCGCTGCCCACATCTCCCTCAGAATGGAAGAGGAAATTGGATGAAGGGCGGGCCAGCAGGCAGGCGGGCGAGGGTACAGCGGGACGCGGGACAGGCTTGGCTGTCTTTGTGGACGGGTCCACCTGGGGGCGGGGGCGGAGGCGGCAGGAGAAGGAACCCGAGCTGGAGAAGAAGAAGGGCTCCTTGAAGGGCCTCGGTGCTCGGCCGGCCCGGGGACCCGGTCACAGGAAAAGCGTTATTTGTAGACTCCTGTCGGGGGAAAAATCTAATTTACCGGCAGCGGGTCTCGAACCGGCGACCTCTCGCGTATGGCTTGGTCTGCGCTCGCTGACCTCGATTCTTCCTCTCTCTCTGTGCCTCAGGGGACGCGCTGTTGGCGGGGCCGTCCTTCCAGCTGGAGCCGCCCGCGCGCGTGGACTTCGCCAACGACACCGGCGCCATGGTGGACTGCGTGGCGGTCGGGTCTCCGCCGCCCGCCGTCTCCTGGCTGTCGGAGGGCAAGCCCGTGGCGGACGTCCCCGGCGCGCTCTCCGTCCTGCACAACGGCAGCCTCCACTTCCTGCCCTTCCGCGCGAGCGGCTACCGCCACGACGTGCACGCCGCCACCTACCGCTGCGTCGCCGGCAACCTGGTCGGCCGCATCACCAGCAGAGACGTCCGCGTGCACGCAGGTGAGTGCGAAAAAGAATTACACGGTGAAAACAATGTCTTACTTTTTGATGAAAATCTTCTCAGATTTGATGGAGGGTGTCTATTCATTTCATGGGAAAATTTCAGCAAAATCTATGAGGAGTTTTCCTCAAATATGGAAGTTCCTCAAGTTTTACCCTTTTCCTCAAAAAAAAAAAACAAACAAAAAAAACAGACACTGGTTTTACCGTTTACCGTTTTTAGAAAGAAATTTTCATGGTAGAAGTTTTTACCTCCAATCCCATTGCGATCTTTGTTAATTTGTATTTGATACCATGAACTTGGCCCGACTGCTGAGCAAATCCAGCTGTCACCGTATGGAGTGACACTGCCACTGCCTCTGGGCGAGGTGGGGAGGGGGCGGGGCGGGCGCAGCTCGTGGTGGGGCTGAGTGTTCACCGGAGGTGGTGGAGCTCGAAACAGCAATACTTCCAAAGTTAATTAAGCTCACGACTACTGCCGCACCACTGCAGAAGCAGTCCATGCGACGAGCGGTGTAGTCCGGAGTTGCGTAAGGTCCGCAGGTCAGTGGCCTTATCGTTGCAATGAGGAAAGTGATTGAATGGGAGAGAAATTAAAACATCGTTTGGTTTCGCGACTATTCTTTATAGGCAAAAGGGTAAACAAAATCGGTAGCAAATTTGCTCATTGGGAAGTTTTGATGAAACCACCCTCTCCCTTTCTCTGCCCTTTTGGCCTGGAGGCCTTTTCCTTCTCTTCGAGCAGAAAGCGCGGCTCATCTTGACACTTGCAAGTCCTCAGACCAAGAATGTTGACCCTTGCAAGTCCTCAAACCAAAGAATCTTGACACTTGCAAGTCTGCGGATCTGCCGCGGTCGCGGTCCAGGGCACGGGAGCATTTCAATGTGCTGGCCCCGGCGCTTTTTTTTACACTTCCGCCCCGACCCCACCCTCCCCCCTCTCTCTCGCTGCCTGCTTCACACCCCTCCACACCCTCACCCCTCCCTTGGAGGCATGTCGCGAAAAGAATTACCTTGGCACATCCAGGAGAGGGATTCCGAAAGTATTTGAATGGCTGGACGTAAGACCGTGGTTATCTCTGGCCGGCGGCCAGCAGCCGGGAGGAGGGGGGTGGTGGAGAGGATGGGCGTTACTTTGGGGTTGTATAGGAGGATGATGAAGAGAAAGAGTTATCTGACCGGAGAGGGGGGGGGGGTAGGAGGGGAGGCAAATTGAGCTGACCCCTGACAAGCCCTTCGGTGGGCCCTTAGCCGCGCCCTCACCCCCGGCGGGGCCCCCCTCCGAGCCCTTTGCGGTTTGTGTCACTTGGACGAACGCCAAACTTGCCATTAAGGGAAGGTTGGATGGAAAAAATTGGGGTCGGCCTGTCGGCAGACCAGGCCCGTCCTACTCAGCCGGGCAGCAGTGGGCGACTCGTCGGGCGGCCCGTGGGTGGGGACTGGGTGCGAGTCTGCATGGGAACGTGTGGCCGGGAGTGGCGCTTCGCTGGCAACCCCCGCTTTGCGATCGCATTTTATTGAATTTACTTTTACTTAACTTTTCGGTGACTGATAGAAATTTAGACAACCATGTTTTAAAGTCCCCTTGCGTTTGCTGCGGACACAAGATGGTCCATAGCAAAGAAGTGCGCACGCCCTGAGCTAGACGGGCTCTCGGCCTTCGGTCTTCGATGTGTGTGTGGGAGGGAGGGGTTGGCGGAGAAGTCAGTCTGGGGTGTCTCGACCCTCCCCCCCCCCTTCTCCCTCCCCGCCTTTCTCCCTCTCTGTCTCTCTCCCTCTTTCTCTCTACGGAGCGGGTAGATTTAGGACCTCATGGGGGACCACATGTGTGACCGGGCGCGAGCGTCTGGGGAGCCTGCGAAGCAGCATGGCACTGACGTGTTGGTGCCTCCTCTGGGCGCGAGGGGCGGGCGAGACGGGGAGGGAAAGGGGAAGAGGGGGGGGGGTTGTCTCACGTCGTCTTTTACTCTCCTTTCGTGCAAATCCTAGAGAAAAGGCGTGCGTGGTGGGAGGAATAATGACATCGTTTTTTATTTTTGTTTCGACGCCGACATTGATCCTGTTGGACACACCGATTAGGCTGTTACTACCCCAACCAACAATTCAACGACCTGTTTGAATTGGACTTATAGATAATTAAAGTGCGACACACTGATATGTCAAGGGTCATCTGGCTAGCATTGTTCATGTGTGGACATCGTGTCCAAAATGTCTACAAATATGCGCCCCATTTTAACTTCAAGGGACGAATAAAATCGAACAGAGCAGTCCACTGGAGGTGAAGAAATTTACCTCATGACGTCCCTTCGCCCCCCCTCTCTCCTCTCCTACCTCCTCTCTCCCCTTTTCCCTCCGTCTCTCCCTCTCTCGCTCTGCAGGAACCCCCGCAGCCGGAAACCACAATAAAATGCCGACACAACTCAGGGCGCTGCCTGGAGCATGGCTGCACAAGATGCCGCGGTGTTGTAGTGGGGGCGACGGCAGCTGGGGGCTGATTGTGGTGGCCGAGGGGGGGGGGTGTAAGTCGAGGGTCGGCGGGAGGCTCTACAGTTCGCACGTGCACCACCCCCCTCTCTCCGTCGCCTCTTTCTCTCTCGCTCTCGCCCCCCCCCCCCCCCCCCCCCCCCCCCCCCCCCCCCCCCCCCCCCCCCCCCCCCTCCTCCTTCCCCTTGCATCTCTCTCGTTTCGTCGCCTTTGCCTGAGCCTGCATTTCTCACACTCCAGCAGTTCGTTTAAATTTCGCGGTATTTCGTTCCAAACCCCCTAACTGTTGTCTGCTGTGATCCTCGGTCGCATTGCAACGAGCACACTGCAAAACTACGAACTGTGTACTAGAAATGCGTAAAACATACCACGAGCACTGGTTTCCTCACAAAGCCATACGGGTCTCTGTAGGTTGTACAATAAAGAAGAGACGCGGGCGAAGTGGAGAGGAGAAACGTCGGAATTCATTATTCCCCGAAGTGAAAAGTAGTATCGAAGCAGGAGGCAGAGAGAGAGGTGAGAGAGAGAGAGAGAGAGAGAATGTGAGAGTAACAAGAGGTGGGAGGGAGCGGGAGATAAATGAGAAATCACAATGAGAGAGCCCTGCGTCCTGATCGTCGGACTGGGCGGCAGCATTGGTTATAGGTTTGCTGCTTGTTTTGTCGAGAGTCCCTCGGGAAATAATGCTTATATCCACCCATCCATCCATCCATCCATCCATCCATCCATCCATCCATCCATCCATCCATCCATCCATCCATCCGTCTGTCCCTCCCTTGTGTCGCTGGGCTGGTCGGCGTTGTCTTGAGTGGATCACGGCTTGTTTGTGGGCCCTCGGCAGCTCCTCGCCGTGCTACCGCAGCCACTCGACCAGCGCCGCTCCCAGCAGATCAGAACCCCGCGTTAGTGGAATTATGGGAGGCTCAGGGTTGCCCTCTTGTAATTTAGTTTGGGAGGAGCCGCTTTCGAACGCCCACAGCAGCAGCAGCAGGGTCAAGAGGCCAAGTGCCCGGGTTTGTAGTTGTAGGGGGGGGGGGGTTGTTTTCTTGAAGAATACGGTAAATACAGAAGGAATTCTTGTTGGGAACCAACGGATTTTCCGGATTATATCAAGCTTTCCTGCTATCAGCAGTACTTTGTCCTGCCCCCCCCCCTCCCCTTCCTTTTCCCTCAATGCTGTGCCGGTGGAGCTGCACTACACTACGCCAGAGTTCTTCGCAATCTCTGCGGCGCGCCCCTCCCACTACTTTTCCCCTGTGTCGCGCCCCCTTGACAAAGGCAAGACTTTTCTGAATGTGTGAACTTGAATAACTCTCAATGTGGGAAGAGTTTTGGACCCCGAAGTCCCCGGGCGGTCCTTTTGGGCACTTGACGCGACTTGTGCGCAGGCACATGTGTGCGAGTGTGTGGCTGTGTTGCTTGTCTCAGCGTCTGTGAGAATAAGAGTCGTGCTAAGCATTGGTGGTGCTCATTTGTTTTTTGCACGCTCGTTTGCATACGCGACTTTATTATTAATTCTTGGGAAAAAAATTGAGAAAGAAGAGTGTATATCGGTTTTAAACCTTAATTTTGAATTCGTTCGAGGAATGGTCGTTTACATTTCCAGTTAAGAGTCCCATTCCTGCTTATAATGATCTTTGTTACGTGCACAAGTTGGCTCTTTCTTGCCTTATTCTTTTTTTTTAGTACAACAAAATCAATTCAGCTCCCTATTCTAGTGTTCCTCCCTACCTAGACCCCGCAGCAGGCCCCGCATCTCGTCCTCTCCCTCTGCCAGTCCAAGTTCAAGTTTCCCTCTTCCCGTTTCCCTTCCTGTGTGAACGGTCGCTCCGAGCGGACCCTCCGCCCGGCCAGCCCGGCGCCCCTCTCTGTTCCCGCTGTACGCTTCCTGTCCTTCCAAACTTAAGCCCCCCTACTCCCTGCCAGCACGTTCGCGCAGAGAGTAACCCTCGGAGTAACCTCCAGCTGTTCCAGAATGGCAATTCATGAATGAACACTGCACTCCCACAATGGGAGAAAAGGATCAACTCGACGACCAACTTTTCAACATTTTAGTAGGTGGTGGCATTGCGCTGTTTACCGTTTGAAGATTGTTATAATGCGTACCGTTTATAGGGTTTTGCCGAAAACCAGAAAAGTGTGTAATGAACTAAACGATGATTCCCTACAACTTTTGCTTGCGGTGTAGCTCTTTTGGCCATTCCCATGGCATAACCCGTCGCGCCGCTTGGCAGCCTTGGCACAGAGAGACAGAGAATCTCTTGGTGCGCCAAGCTAGCAACCCGGTAAGCCTGCAAGGCGCCAATGCGCGTGTGGGCAGTGGGCCCAGCCTGGAGTGGGGAGGGCGGGGAAGCTGGCTAACTGTTCAAACGTCAGCGGGAGGGGGGGAGAACTATCAGCAGCACGTTGCAGTCCGAAGGGAAAACAACTTGTTGGATTGACGGCGACTAAATGGGACCCAAGTGCAAGGCAAGCCCCCCCCCCCCCCCCTTGTGTTCTGCAGGAGGCTGCTCTAGGGGTGCCAAGAAACGGAAGGAAGGGGAAAAAGGAAGGGGGTGATACTCTGATACTGAAATGAACAGCCTTTCACTTTCACATTATTTTCGTGGATGCTGAAAATTACACGATTATACTTATAGGCGGATTCACAAATATTTCTATGGCGATTTTCATCAATATTTATCCTATTCGGTTCGTTCCTGTCGATTCACGTTCCGCACACTGGTTGGTGGGGTGTGCGAGACCTGGCGTCGCATTAAACGACAGCGCCATCCCCTTCTGCGCGACCCCTACACTACACTATACTGACCTACCCCAAGCAGGTGCGGCGCAGCTGCTGCCTCTCCCGTCTCACTCTCTCCCCAGCACAGCTGCCCCCGCCCCTCGCCCCCACTCTCTCTCTCTCTCTCTCTCTCTCTCTCTCTCTCTCTCCCTCTCTCTTTCTCCCGCCTGCTTCTGTCCGGCTCGCCGTCGGATCAATCGGTCCCAGATTTATCAACGTCTCTGCCGCCTGCCGCGGTTTGTCACTGTCGTGTCGGACAAGATATATTACGAGCGCCAAAGAAGTAGGGATAGTAGTGGCGACGTAGTGTCTGGCGTGCGCGTGCGCGTGCTTGTGAGAGAGAGAGAGAGAGGGGGGGGCGCGGATTGAATATATCACAATTTTCGACAGACCCTCTCGAAGCTGAAACATATTGATCCTAATTGACGGGCAGCAATAAGTTACGCCCAATCTTTTCCTCTTTTTTTTTCCTTTTATATTGCTTCTCCTTTATCTGTCGTACTTTTTTTTAATGTCCAGTATTGTTTTTCTCTCTTCTCTTAATAATTATCTCTGCCTCATCCCCAGACAGCCCAACTTCCGTTAGACCGCTACCGACTACAGGATACGGCATACGGTCAGCTCGGCTGCACTATGTACATGTACAACAAGATTTTGACTAACTACTGCTCCTTTCCCTTTCGGGGCAAATGGTAATGCCATTTTAAAACAAAGAAACCCCCCCCCCCTCTCTCTCTCTCTCTCTCTCTCTCTCTCTCTCTCTCTGTCTCTCTCTCTCTCTCTGTCTCTCTCCCTCCCTCCCTCTCTCTCGTTCTCGCTCTTTCTTCAAACGGCTGCGCGCTTCTGGTAGTTAATGCGAAGCTGTTAATTAATAGAACCACTCCAGCCCCACCCCCTCGGGCTGCCTGAGCCTCGCCCGCACTAATCAGCTTCGTTTGTAAACAGTGAATGCCAGGAGCCAGGCGGGCAGGGGCGGGCTGTCGGGATGTCTGACGGCGAAGGTTCCTGGCCTCTGAGTTACCTATCGCACCGCAAACCCGTCTCGTAACCCCAAACTCCCTGTAAACCCCACTCCTCCTCCTCCTCCTCCTCCTCCTCCTCCTCCTC